TAAGTTGGATTTTTTAGTGCCATCCAACCTGAGGGGCTCATCTTTTGGCATTTTCTCAACCAGTATTTCACTGTAAAGTAAGTTTTCAATGGCTATTTCCTTAGAAGTTCCCTCAGAAGTGGTCTAACTATTCTTCTTCCTAGTCTGTTCTTAGTTTGTAAGCTCCATTAAAACCTGTCCACCAAGAGTGACCCTGCTGGTATTTGAAACACCAGTGGCATAGCTTCCAGCATGACAGTAATGAACAAGCCACCACAGTGCAGCACACTGACAGGCCTGTGGGGTACAGGAACAAATATAAACTAGTATCTTAACCTGAAGTTCTGTGCTCAGTTTGGACAGAAAATCCAGAACTCTGATGGTGGTTAATATATCAGGAAACCTCGATGAATAAGGGGGAAATTTTTTTCCATTATCTTTTTATTGCAATTTTCCATGAACTTTTTGAAACCCATAATAAAGCATTGTATAGTGGAAAGAATAAGTCAGACATAATGTATGGTTCCCTCTCAAACTAGTTCTATGTCTTGGCCAGTGCGGTGTCTATACCTGAGTTTACGGGTTTTGTTTTGTTTTGTTTTAATGAGGTAATAAAGTTAAAGGATAGATGTTCAGGAAACTGCCAGTGTTATTAGAATAATCAAACTCACAATAATGTTTCATTTATTACCCTTTATCAAGAATGGAATTGTAAATATAAAATTTTTAGGTTACTGAAGTTTATTCTTTTTAGTCATCAGAACTTTAAAAGTTCATTTTGTTTGCATAGCTTTCTAAAATTTTATCTGCTATAAATGTAGTATATTGAGGCATTCAGATGTTGTTTTGGTGGCTGACATAAGGTGTGCTGTTTCCCTTTAGGTAGTTCTAAGGCAAAACACTGTTTTTCTACAGATAGCATGTAGTCTTCACATTAACAATCATCACTATAACCAAGTAGTAGAAGTAAAGCCTTGACATTTGACTGCTATTTGTAATTGTTGTTGTTAAGGGGCATTGAGTCCATTATGACTCACAGCAACCCTGTATAGGGTTTCCAAGGAGCGGTTGGTGGGTTTAAACTGCCAACCTTGCGGTTAGCAGTGTAGTGCTTTCCTACAGCGCCACACCTGGACCCCAATCTTAATTGCTGTTGTTAAGTGCCATCAAATCGGTTCTGACTCATAGTGACCCTGTGTAGGGTTTCCAAGGAATGGCTGGTAAGCTTGAATTGCTGCCAACCTTGTGGTTCAAACCGACCTTGAAGTCCACTGCATTGACCCACTGGGATACAGATGTTAAGAACTTTTTGATTATCTCCTGGGAGGTTTGAAATTGTTAGCAAAGGAGAAAAGAAGTTATAATGAGATTTGATTATTAGGTCTTACACATTCAAATAAACAACATTAGAATTCAGCAATGTCTGAGATCAAAGTTTCTTATATATTCTTCCTTACCAATGTGTATGTGAATGTTGGACAGTGAATAAGGAAGAGTGCAGAAGAATTGATGCATTCGAGTTATGGTGTTGGAGAAGAATATTAAAAGTACCATGGACTTCCAGAAGAACAAACTAATCTGTGTTGGAAGAAGTACAGCCAGGATGCTTCCTAGAAGCCAGGATGGTTAGACTTAGTCTCTCATACTTTTGATATATTATCAGGAGGGACCAGTACCTGGAGAAGGACGTCATGCTTGGTAAGGTGAAGAGTCAGTGATAAAGAAGAAGACGCTCAACGCAATGAATTGGCACAGTGACAGGAGCAGTGGGCTCAAGCATCACAACAGTTGTGAGGATGACTCAGGTCCAGGCAGTGTTTTGTTGTGCTTGAGTCACAAGTGACTTAAGAGTACCATAACAACAACAACAACCAATAAGTCATGAATCTTATACTTGGAGGCAGAAAGTTTTGATTAAGACAAACTTCCAACTAGATTTGGACTTTGTTGTGTTATTTACTTCAAAAAGTTGTTTTAGCAGGTAGTTCAATATGGTTATATTTATTCAGTTTGTCTTTTCATGAGAATTTTTCCTAGATAGTTTGTAGTATAAACAACAATATAGCAAAAGTTAGTTAACCGAGTTTAGTTAGCATTTTGTTCATTGGTATTTATTTTCATTAGTTGATATCTATTTTTAAACTCAGTTTGCATTTGTTTGTATTATATAATATTAACATATTTGATTACAGAGCACATGATGATTGAGCAAAACATGTTTTTCCCTAATAACCTACTATGTAGGTTTTTTGATGAATGGTTTCATGGCATCTCCAGTTAATTGAAGAAATCCTTTTCATCCATTAATATTTTTAAAACCTCTGGAACCTGTTGCCATTTGTTTTGAACCATGCCTCTGAGGTTAGATAGTCTCTTACCCTTCCTGTCTTACTTCAGTATTATGAACATCCTTGTTCCCTTCATTATCTTCCTCCTCTCAAGCCTAGCACAGAGTTAGTAAATAAATATTAGCTTTTCATTTTAAATATCTTCAATAATCATTCCTTCTCTGCCCTTACATATACATAAGCTCTCTGTTCAAAGAGTTCTGTTGCTGGTTTTATTCTCAAAATTGTCATCCTTTTTGCCTCCATTTCTTAACTACTTGTTACCTGTAGATAGACAGGGAGGTTGGCAGTGGGGAGTAATTGTTGGATAGCAGTTGCAGCCGTTTTGGCCTTGTGCTAATCCCGTAGAAGTGCCCATAGTCTGTCTTCATAAAGAGAGAGACTTGTAGTGGAGTAGATAGACTAGAACGATAGCTAGCCAACAAAGAGGCGTCTTCATTCATTCAGGCAAAAATGATGAAGTAAACAGACTCTGAGGGACTGGAAAAGATGGAAGGAATGTACCTTTACTGTGGTTAAGAAAAAGAAGATTGAAAATAGGGTATGGAAGTTGGAAGGAAGAATGGTTGATATGGTAAGAGGAATAGAGGAGTGTGGGAAACCTTAGGGTTTCTGAGGCTGTAAATCTACAGAAGCTGGCTGTCTCATCTTGCTCCAGTGGAGCTGTTGGTGGGTTTGAACCACCGATCTTTTGGTTAGCATTCTAACACTTAACTCATTGTAACACCCACTACAGTCCTTAAAGTGACCACAGACCATGGATAATTCTGTTTATTTTAAAGATTGTCTTAATTAGCTTTGCCTAAATGTCTTATCTTAAAATCTCTGGTCATTTCCTTTTTCAGATTTTCTTTTAGATGTTGGTTTGAGTATGTGGTCACAGAGATCTGTTCTTTTAAATGTCCTGTCCTAAGTAGGTCGACTAGCTTTCTTTCCAACTTATTAGTGCAATGACTTGTTCTTGAGTGCTGTTGAGTCTATTCCAGCTCATAGTGACCCTGTCTGTATAGGGTTTCTGAGGAGCACTTGGTAGGTTTGAACTGCTGACCTTGTGGTGTGCAGTCCATTGCTGATCCTACAGTGCCACACCAGGAGTCCTATAGTGCTTACATTGTCTATTTTTGTTAATCAGGCAAGAACAGTTCTTTGTCTTGGAGCCTAGCACACTGGTTCCTGCTCAGTGTTGTTACATTTTACAGAAGCCCACAAGCTATTCTCTGGGAGAAAGATGTGGCAGTCTACTTCATTAATGATTACAGCAAACCCTGTAGGGCAGTTCTGCTCTATCCTGTTGAGTTGCTATGAGTTGGAATGGACTCTACAGCATGGGTTTGGTTTGTTTCAATTTCGGAGATTTTCTCCTTAGCTAGGATGGTAAATAAAGAGCTCTGGTGGTTACGAATCGGGCTGTGAACTGCAAGGTCAGCAGTTCGAAACTACCAGCTGCTCAGTGGGAGAAAGATGAGGCTTTCTGCTCAAGATTTACAGCCTCGGCTGTATGGTAATTGTCAGAATATGTATGTTGTGGCTCAGTGGATGTCTTCCTAGAGAGCCCTGGGGTGGCACTGTGGGTTAATGCACTGGACTGCAAAGTCAGTTTGAACCACAAGGTCGCTATGGGTTGGAATCGACTCAACAGCACTTAACAACAACAACGTAACTTTTATGGAATAATAAGCATAAACCACAGGTTATCCCAGGCAAACCAGGATAATTATCTAAAGCTAACACTGGGATGCTTTCTGTATACAAGCTCACCACTACTACTTGCTGTCTTTCTCCATCAGTAGACACAATATCATCATAAAATCACTTCTTAAGGATCATCTACAGAACTTGATTCTTTAAAGAAAAGCAGTGTGTTATGTTGTTGACCGAGGTGACCTTCCCACTTGTATGCAAAAAGTCTATTTCAAACTTCTAAAAAGCAGTATTTAACCTTACTGAGTTAAAAATGAAATGCAATTGAGTAAAAACATTCTTATTTTTAGTAAAAACAGTAAGACTTTAAACAGGCATTTTTAAATCCTGTTTTCCCTAATATTTCCCTAATAGTTGTCATCTGCTGTTGACTTACAAAGTGTTGGGTAGGTTAGTCTATGTATGAAGTTGTGAATAGACACACATGCAAGCACACACAGACTGTAGTCATGTTCTCTTTGCTATGACTCCATCACTTTCACAGTCAAATACCATCAGATGGGTATGGAGAAATCCGATACATATAAGTCAGTGAAAGATGGTGCCTATGGTATTAATATACTTACCCTCAAACTTGTGGCAACTACTTTTCATCAAGCTATCTTTAGTTCTTGGTATATCCTAATTTTAGGAGTCTTTGCTTTGTACCACAGCATTGCTGCAGGCTTTTTTTTATATATATATAAATTACTAGCTCATTGATTAGTGGCAGCAACAATGGGCTCAAGTATACTACAGGACCAGTAGTGGTTCATTCTGTTGTGCATAGCGTCATTAGGAGTCGGAACTAATTCCATGGCACCTAATAACAGTTAGCTCATTGATTTAGTTTGAGATGTAGGTTTCTCATGCCTTTTTTTCTGATAAACCTGTGTTTAAATGTAATATATTGTGCTTATTGTTACTAATAAAGTAATTTCACATGCAAAGTTAAGAGTGGAATTTAACATTTCTGTCTTAACCTTTATCTAGAACTGTCAAGTAATCCACCCCTGGCTACCATCCTTATTCCTCCTCATGCTCGGATTCAAGCAGCTGCTTCAACCCCTACAAATGCCACAGCAGCCTCAGGTGAGGATACATAAGTCTCTTCTGTGAATGCATAATCTGCTGGAAAAGACAACATGCTCATCTCCATGTCATTTTATTTGATAAATATGTACAGGTATCAAAAACCTAACATAGCCAAATGAGTAGATATAATAAAACTTTGATTTTATTTCCTAAAGGCACACCAGGACTACATAAATACTATATACAGATAAACCATAAATATCCATCATTTTAATTGTTGTTTTAAAAATCATGCTTTCCGTATTATTTCTTGATTACTATGCATCCAGTGAGATACTTATAGCAGAACACCATCTGTACAAATAAAATGTTTTGGAAGATACTCACTTTAGTCCATCACATTGAAGGTAACTTATACTAGTATAGTGGAACAATAAAGTTTTAAGAAATATAAACTGTAGAATGGTGTAATTTTATCATTCAAAAAGGATAACACTACAATGCAAATACCTTTAAGATTTAGATTTATATGTGACTAGACTGTAGGAGTTCTGGTGTAGTACTGTAGGATAAGCACTGGACATCAAGCTCGCTTTAAACTGCAAGATCAGTGGTTCAAACTTACTGATTGTTCCTTGGAAATGCTATTATACAGGGTTGCTGTGAGTTGCAAACTGACTCATTGGCCCTAACAATATGTAGAATAAGCAGTGGACTGCTAATGCAAGGTCGGTGGTTCAAACCCACCAGCCACTTCTTGGAAACTATTCAGAGTTGCTATGAGTCAGAACCAACTCGATGGCACTTAACAACAAAACAACAACAGACTCATCTACCAAAAATAAATAAAAATTTCCACATGGATTTCCAGGTTAGATGTAGAATATTCTGTTGGTCTCTTAGCTTGGTTTAGTGAGAATCACGTTCTTTACAGATATTAAAAAAATACCCAGTACTTGAGTGAAATTTCCCCCAAAGAATGGCTGGATACATTTTAAAGTGAAGTTAGAAATGTAATTGTGGCGATTATGGCTTCCCCATTCCCACCAAAACATGGAGTCAGACGCAACCTTCATTTTCACTTAGTTTTGTATCACAGTCAGTTGGACCAGACCCATTTTTACCTAAAGACATTTATGCTGAAGGAGATGAAAACCTTTCATTACTAGTTCTTAGCACTCTATAGTAAAGGTTCATCTTTCTAAATGTCTCCTCTTACCTGGTATGTAAAGTTTTCCTATATAAATCTTTTAAAACAGTCTTGCTAACTCAAATTCATGTCCTAGTTTTCAGAAAAAGTCTGTGGGGAAAGTCTGTTTTCTAGTTTAGTTTTATCATCAAGTGCTAGATTGAGGAAGTCGCTTGAACTCTTGCTAGTTTTCTCAGTCTGTAAAATGGAATGATAGTTTTGTCCTAGACTGATGTTGTAAAACATCATTCTTGGGCTATGCAAGAATTATCAACTTAAAAATTAGCCTGCTATATTTAGGCAAGAGTCCTGGTGTGGCACCGTGAGTTAATGCATTAGACTGCAAGGTCGGTTTAAACTGCAAGGCCGGCTGTTTCAAGCTCACCAATCACTCCTTGGAAACCCTCTACAGGGTCACTACGAGTCAGAACTGACTGAAATTAACCTACCCCTAATATGCAGTTTGAACTGCAAGGTAGGCGGTTCGTGCTCACCACTTGCTCATCAGAAAATCTGTACAGGGTCGCTATGGGTCATAAGCGTCTTGACGGCACTTAACAAGAACAATATAGGGTCAGTGTGGTGCTGTGAGATAATGCGCTGGACTGCGAAGTCTGTGGTTCTTACTTAACAGCTACAACTTGGAAACCCTAGACAGGGTCTCTATGGGCCAGAACTGACTCCACAGCACTTAACAACAATACAGGGTCACTATGGGTCGGATCAACTATCAACACTCATGGAAGCAGCAGTCAGATCAGACGACATATTGCATTAGGCAAATCTGCTGCACAAGAGCTTTTTAAAGTGTTGAAGAGCAAAGATGTCAGCATGAGGACTAAGGTGCGACTGACCCAAGCCATCGTATTTTCAGTAACCTTGTATGCTTGCGAAAGCTGTACAGTGAATAAGGAAAACCGTAGAAGAATTGATGCTTTTGAGTTATGGTGTTGGAGGAGAATATTGAAAGTGTCATGGGCTGCCAAAAGAATCAATAGATCCGTTTTGGAAGTAGTGTAGCCAGAGTGCTCCTTGGAGGCCAGGATGGTCAAACTTCGTCCCATACTTCAGACATATTGTCAGGAGGGAACAGTTGCTGGAGACGGATATCATGTTTGGTAAGGTGGAGGGTCAGAGAAAAAGAGGAAGACCCCCAACTAGATGGATTGGCTAAGTAGCAGCATTGATGGACTCAAGCATGGCAGCAGTAGTGAGGTTAGCCCAGGATCGGGCAATGTTTTGTTCTGTGCACAAGGTCGCTATGAGTCAGTACCGACTCAATGGCACCTAACAACAACAACAACAACAACGAGTTGGAACCGACTCCATGGCACACCACCGTCACCACCACCAATGTAACGGCTGGAGTCCTGTTGTGACACTGTAGGATAAGCACTTGACCACAGGGTCGGTTTGAACTGCATGGTTGGCAGTTCAAACTCACCAATCATTCCTTGGAAACCCTGTACAGGGTCACTATGGGCCAGCACCAACTTGAAAGCACTTAACAGCAATGTGATGGCTGGAACTGTGATTGCCTTGGCAGGGTCAGACCAAATCATTTCACAGGCTTTATAGGGCCACATTCCCCACCCTTGACTTAAACAAATTTAACATAATTACTGGCCCGAGTTAGATTCTCTTGATTGCTCAGAACCTTAGTCTAAACTAACATACTTGCTTTAAGAGTTTTATTAGCATTCCTTATTTAAATTGATTTAAATAAGAATTGTAGTTGATAAATTCTGCATAATTTAAAATAATTGTCTTTATGTGTGATAATTGAACAAGTTAATGGCTACAGCTAAGTTTTTTTGTTTTAGTTTGGTTTGACAAATTGCCTAATAGGAGCCTAGGATAGTCTGACTTTTATGTTGCTTTGATACTCTTCAGTAGTTACAAAAACATATATCATTGCCATTTATGAGGCGACTTCAAAAAGTTTATGGAAAAATTGTCTTTTCATTCCATTTTCCCATAAACTTTTTGAAGCCTTCTTGGATACATTCTTATAGCTATTAAAATTGGATTTTAACATAAAAATGCAAATTGGTATTGCACTTGGACCATGAGAGTCTACTTCAAAGTTGAAGTAAATAAGGTCATGAGGAAGTTACTAGAGGAATCATAGTGTGAAGTCAAGGCTAAAATTGGTTAAGAGAAATGCCTGCCTTGAATACCTCAATAGTTATGAAAGAGGATTTCTGAAATTGCTCTGAGCTTCCTAGTAGTTAAAGAAATGTTATCTGTTAAAATTACCTTTTGTCCATTAGATAAATAGCTAATGGCTAAGGAGAAGATGCATTTTCTAACTCTGTTATTTGGTAAATATTTCTCCCTAATGCCTTCAGATTTGGTGCTGTATAAGAGATATATATAGTAAATGAAATCCTCATCACTATCTCAGTAAAATGCAAGAGTGAGTTTCATATGGATACTTTTAAAGTGCTACTCAGTGCAAGCCAAATACCAAACACTGACAAAGCACTTCTAAAGATCTACTCCAAATGCATAAAGAAATAAACTACCAATCCACGCAATCATAGACTTTGATCTATATTTCAAATTGTCAACATCAGATTTTCTAATCCTCCTCTGTAACTGAATCACCACAGTAATACACCCCTGAAATGACCAAGAGTGAATTAATTTCAATATGTACATTTAAGTAATTACATTAGTTGACTTAATTAACTTAAAGCAACTTAATGGAGAACATAAAACAAAAAATGTATTTTAGAGCTGGAGTCACTTTCAGTTTGTAATCGCAAAACAGAAAGCAGATGAATACTTAGATGTTTTTGGTAGCTCCAGGCCACCAAGTCATCTAAAACATGTTTTAAGATCACTACGGTACAAATTCAAAAAAGAAACATGACCTTGTAAATATCATCTGACCTGTTGGGCCATTTCTACTGGTGCTCAGCATCATTGAAGTCCAGGCTCTGTGGAAAATTTTCAAAAGACAAGCTCCTAGATTACTGTCTCAGAAGCCTTTATGTTGTTTATACCTGACTTTAATAAGAAGGTACTTTTCAAGGTTTATAGTTTATCTAGGAACAAAGCTCAATCCCAAAGTATCTGAGATAAAAGCAGATCAAAGGAGATTGATGGAGTTGTCAGATGGAATTGCACTAACTGTTATCATCATGAAATAAGCTTTGGATTTTAGTCAGCTTCTGTTTTAACCAAAGCTTTTAAATGATCTCAGGTATTAAATTTTGTTAAATGTTAAATAAGTCTGTTGTATGCAAAACTTTGATTTATTTTACTCCAGTGGAAAAGCAAAGAAAGTAAACTTTTTCTTTTTCAGATTGTGGTCTAAAGTTGTGTTGAGATTACTGTAGGAAGATGTGGTTAATTCCTATTCTCTAGTCTCTCCAAAAGAACTTTGATTAGTATAGTAAAAACATTACAGTAATTGTTATTGTTCTCTCCTTTCCTAAATATGATAAAGGTGACGCATTTGTCAAGTTTGATGATATATAAATACTGATGACACTACTTTCGCAGATCTTGAAACTCTCACTTCCTTGTGTTGTATTTAAGGCTCAGGTAGTGATTTCAGGTAAATTGATAAAGATGTGTTAGAAAGTATTACAGTCAGAGTTCACTGTGCTGGACTGCAAAATCAGTTTGAACTGCAAGTTTGGTGGATCAAGCTCCTCGGGAAGTCAGAACTGACTCAACGGCACTTAACAACAATAACAATACTGATGTGGGGCTGTAGGATAAGCACTGGACTGCTTAGCTGCAGATTTTGTAAATTTAGTTAAAGTGGGATTGTTGTTAAGTGTCTTGGAGTCAGTTTCAACTCATAGCAATCCTGTATAGGGTTTCCAAGAAATGGCTGGTGGATTTGAACTGCCTACCTTGCAGTTAGAAGTCCAGTGCTTATCTGAATAGAAATGATTATTTTATTACAAACAAGAGCAAATCTGATTTGATTTAATTCATTGTGGAATTTTCATTTTTATATGTTGTTGTTGTTAAGTGCCATCGAGTAGGTTCAGACTCACGGCAACCCTGGATAGGATTTCCAAGGAGCAACTGTTAGTTTGAACCACAGATCTTGTATTTCAGTGCTGTATCCTCCAGTGCCACACCATAGCTAGTCGGAAAAAATTATGCAATTTATGGACATTGGTGGACATTTCATTTATTGTAGGGGCAATCTAATCAACCATTTTGGTAACTATCCCTAAATGAGTGTTTGTTAAGTAGGTGGTTGTTATTATGTGCTGTGGAGTCAGTTCCCACTCATAGCGACCCTGTACAGGGTTTCCGAGGCTGTAAATCTTTACGGGAGCAGAAAGCCTCATCTTTCTCCCGTGGAACAGCTGGTAGTTTCGAACTGCTGACCCTGAGGTTCACAGCCCGATTCATAACCACTACGCTACCAGAGCTCCTTTCTGCTTAGCATAAGAGAACTAAAATACCCTCATTGCTAGAGAGAGAACAACTTCTGGGTTTGTTTTTTATTGTCACCAGCCTTCATGGAGCTCTGAGAGAAATGGCTCTTGGAAGTTGCTCACCCCTGTTGATCCACCTCTGTTCTTGTTCAGTTCTTAGGGTAAACTCTGGGGTAGAAAATTTGGTCAGCAATGTGAGGGGGCTTCAAACAGTTCATGGGGAAATTCCATTATCTTTTAATTCCATTTTTCCATGAACTTTCCAGGCAGCAGTCTCTTGTCCACTGAGATAGAGAGCCAGTCTAGACACATTTAGATGGTGCATAAATGCTCATGGTGACTGGGAAATAATAATGTATCTTAAAAACAAGCTGGAGAGATTTAAGGTTAGTTGTAAAGTTGTGCATATTTCCAAAAGAATGAGGCAAAGTATGTCTGCTGCCAAGACATTTGACTAGAAGGTTTTTTATTGAATTGAATAAATGAATTAATACTACACTGCCTTTTTATCCTGGTCATTTGTCTCCTAGTTCTATGAATAATGAAGAGTGACTGCACTTAGAAAGTAATGAAGAGTGACTGCACTTAGAAAGTAAACAGCTGAATTTGACTTACACACTGTCTCTGCCTATCAACATTGTGACCCACGTCACTTTCACTGCCACCACCCGTTCACCCACTTAAGCAGATGGCATATTATACCATGGTTGAGAATTTTTAGTAAGTTTTCTCAGCTGTGCATCATTTATTTATTTCAAGTGAGCTAGACTCCAATTATTTTGCATGTAGAAATTTTGCATATAGAAATTTAGGACAAAAATGACATCATTATGGCCTCTGTTAGGAACTTGATGCCTCGGAGTTCTATCCTTAGCATCACTATGGAATTGCAGGTTGTCATTTTTACCTCTGAAATCACAAAAGAATATAATTTGTGTGAACAAATTTGTTTACATGAATTGTATTCTTTGTGAGTTGATAGACTGTGTTAATAGACTGCTGATTTTCCCGTATAAGAGAGGTTTGACAGAAACTGGCTCTGTAATGTATTCAGAGACATTATCTGCCCTGCACCAAGTCATGCCTAGGCACAGATTTAACTTTTAAGCACAGAGAAATTCTGATTTCACATCAGTGACCTAATTTAAAACAACATTCCAAAAACAACTTGAAAGGCCACACAGCTCACAGTGTCCAGTTGAGCCACTGGGCTTGTACTCTTCGGGCTGTTGATATAAGCATTGCTCACACACTCTGGGAACTTTTGATTTGCAGATGCTAATGCTGGAGACCGTGGACAGACCAATAATGCCGCTTCCGCATCAGCTTCCAACTCCACCTGAACAGTCCCAGGCAGCCAGCCAAGCAGGAAGAACCACCAGTTACTTGAGTGTCACTAAGCAACACTGGTCACGTTTGGAAAGAAAATTAAAAAGAGAAAAAAACAAAAAAAAAACCCTGTTCATTTTAGTGTTCAATTTTTTTATTATTATTGTTGTTCTTATTTAACCTTGTAAAATATCTATAAATACAAACCAATTTCATTGTATTCTCACTTTGAGGGAGATCCAGGGGGCGGGAGGGGCTGTGGGAAGGGGAAAGCAGAGCACTAGAACACACAATCTCTCTCCCACGACAATCTTTTTTTTTTTTTTTTTTAATCAAAGGTCTGCTGTTGTATACTTTAAAAACAGGACTCCTGCTTCATGCCCCTTCCACAAAAGAAGAAAACCTTGTTCTGTGCTGAAGTTTTTTTGAACTTTGTTTTCTTTTAAAGTCAAGTGTAAGACTTTGGTATAGTGCACAGCTTGAAATTGGTTGGGAGCTTAGCAGGTGTAGGTCAATGGGGACTTAAATGTCACTTGTAAAATGAATCCATATCCTCGGGTGTTTGAAGACTTGCCTTTGGCATGTTGTTGGCAGGCTTGGCAGCCAGAAAGGTATATGTGTATCATTCGTAACCCAGGGAGGTAGAGACAGTTTGAAACTCTTAAGAGTCTTTGCAGATTGCTTAGGTTCTGTGTGTGCTTCATCAACAGGAGTGGTGGAGAAGCTTGCATAGGAGGCGTCAGAGGAGGAGTGCCATAACTCTGACTGCTCTGAGGTAGATCTTCTTTTGCCTGACCAAAGTTCAAAGTTTAAAGTTTCTCTGCTAGTCTTCGCACAGTTTTAAACTAGTGACCTAGAAAGAGGCCAAGAAGGGTGTGGGCAGGCCACTCAGGCTACACAGGTCAAACGCAGATGAGCTGGAGGCACAGGACCAGCCAGAGGCCCTTGGGCAGATCTCACCACTGTGAATGACGTTTTCCAGATTTTTTCTAAAGTTGCTTCCCTTGGAAAGATACACTTGAGAGGACACTATAGTTAAATAATGTGAACTGTTAACAGTCTACTGGTTTATTTTTCATATTCTTAATTAAAAATTGAGCTTGCTGAAGTTGCCATAGTATACACATTTTAAATCCAGATCTAGAATCTGTATTTAATTTCAGCCTTTTAACCTCATGCTTTTAAATTTTTATTTATTGATGCGTGTCAGATAGGCCATTATGATTTTAGATGGTAGGAATATTGGAAACCACACATCAAAATGATATAAACAGTCACTCACTTGTACCTGCTGACTTTATAGGAAAGCTGATTATATAAATGTGTGTATATATGTTATATATACATATAGTCAGTGCTGCCTCTTTTTTTTTTTTTTTTTTTTGGTCTCCAGTATCAAAATTGATTGGTTGAAGCATGAGAAGAATGTTTTCCCCCCATGCCCAGTTTAGAGTATTCGTTCTGTTTTCTTTGTGTATTAGTGAATGGTGTAAAAATCAAAGTCTGTTAATTGAAGAAAAAGCAATATTCCTTGTAAAGCAAGGAGGATTGAAGGATGATGTTTGCAGTGAGAACAGATTTTCACAACTAGTTTTATACTTTTAAGGTTGGCATCTATGTGGGCCTTATATACTCTAAAATGAACCTTAGTCACCTTGGTGCTTATGGGCCATTACTTGACCTATGTATCTTTAAGGCACAATCAGTTGTACTTTACATGTTAAAGATTACTTGAGTGATGGCCGCCTTTCCCTCCTACCCACTCCCTACCCACACACCTTCCAAGGTTAGCTGAGCCCTAGTTTGTGTGGAACCTCCCTTCAGCCTCCTCATTGCCACCTTAGATCATGCTTGGGTCTTGCCCTCTTGGTGGTTTGTAAGTGGAGTCTCCCAGCAGCCCTCACACAGGCCCCAGCAGCACCCTGCCCTGCTCCTAAGGAAGCGGGAATCTCAGAGAGAGCCATGCTGCCTACTGAAGTGAACCAGTACCCTGAAAGACAACTGGGAGCCGTCTTAGCTTTCCCTCACTGTTCAACTAAGCTCTTACTAGGCCACAAACAGGGTTTCTTAAAACCTCTGGTTACATAAGATTTCATGAGAAAGGAGACACAGTCAAACCAAATCAAAGAAATTGAATTTTATTCTTCATATAATGAGCTTCTAAGAGCTAATTAAGATTTTAAAGCAGTCTGAATCAAAATATTGAGAGCATAATTCCTTAAAGGAAATGAATGGCTTACATAGACCATGCTCAGAAAGGATTTATAAAGAGTCTGGCAGAAATGCACCCGCTTTCAGACCAAACTGCCCAGCCAAACATTTGGACACAGACACTACTCTGGCTTTGGTAACCATTTGCTAGAGTCTGTAAACATTAGTGCTTGCTTTAGGAAACACTTCCCCACCACCACCACCTAATGGGGTAGGAGGAGAAGAGGAAAAGTGCTTTTCTCTCATTTTAGTGTGTGTGTGAGGGCTGAGGTGCCGTGATTTTTCCTTCTCAAGGATCATGATGGGATCACAGAACTCTTTTATACAAGTGAGATCCAGGTCTCTGAATATCTTTTTGTAAATAATAATAATAAAAAGCTCCTCACCAAATTCAAGCTTGTACATTATATTTTCTTTCAATGTTTTTAAATTTAAGTTTTATTGTTTTGTATGTAAATACGTGGACCCAGGAACTGTTATTAATGAGCAAAAGTTACTGTTCAGGGCAGTGATTCTGTTTAATAATCAGACAAAATGTAGATGAGCTTTTTAAAGCCATATAGTTTTAACTCTGTACAGTAGGTACCGGCCTGTATTATTGTAACAATAACTCTAGCAATGTATAGTGTATCTATATAGTTTGGAGTGCCTTCGCTTCCATGTGTTTGGGTTTTTTTGTTTCTTTGTTTTTCATTCTTTAAATTTTAATTCATTTCCCTGACCCATGTCTCCCTCACCCTCCTCCTTTACCTTTAAAATAATAGCTCACTCATAAAACAACATTGTTGTTTTAACACAGTTACATTTCTATAATACCATGCTCAGTGGTGGAAAGAAAAACCATGTTCAGAACCTCACATCTCCAAGCCCTGCCTTTGTTTGAGTTCTGAACATCTGTTTTCCTCCTCTGTAGCAGTTACCAGTTTCATTTTTTATGTAGTCCATTCAGGGACTCAGTCTAGTGCCAGGGAGCCCTAGAGCTGTGGAGAATATGGAAAAGATTCGATTTGCTCATCTCTTCCCTAGGCTCTAATCATGGGTCTTACAAACAGCAGATTTCTGGGAGCTTTCGATGTTCACTCTCCTCCTTAACCTACTTCCCTCCCAAAAGAGAGAGACAGAATTGGTTTTTATAAATCTGGGTTTTGCTGCGTCCATGGTCTAAAATGCTGTAGTGCAAGTATTAGCAGTCCCCGAGTGCCACCCTCGCCAAAGAGGCCTGTTGTTATGAACAAAAGGATTTCTTAGCCCACCCCCTCCCTCCTGCCAGCTCTATCTTGTTCAATGAAATGTCATTTTAATTTCTTAATAAAATCCATTTAATTCTTACTGTGTGCCCAATGTGAAGGACTTTTTTGAAAAAAAATAAAATAAAATTATTTGTTTTGCCTCCAAGTCCTCCATATAAGATGTTTTGAGTAGAAAACGAACTTTACCAAACCAAAGGTTGTTGTTGTTTTTGAAACATCGTGTGTTCATTCTAACAAGGCAGAGACTGCGCCTTCCTCCCAGTAACAGTGTTGTGTAATTTTTTAAGTCCTAGTTTTTAGGCACATTTTTGGTTTGTGTTTTGACAGTATACCTAACCAATCACCTTGTCTGCACCAATGCAAAGGTTCCTGAGAAGACTACGTATTATATTCTCTCTCCCCGTTCATAGAAAGACACTGGCGTTTCATTTATTTTCCATTTCCTTTTGAAAAGATTAACTTCGGAATCTTCCAAAGGAAGTTTGGCCCAGATCCCCAGGGATTTGGGGGGTTTTGTTTGTTTAAACCAAAATTGTATCTGATCCTATATGGGTTTGTGATCATCTAATCACAAAGCCAAACACCTTGACCCCCCCTATATAGGAAAATAAGCATACAATAAAACCTGTCTTTTTCTGGCAGAAACCTGAGCCGCTGAAAATAAAAGAGACAACTAGAAGCACAGTAGAGCCCCAGACTAAAGGTCTACCTTAGAGAAGCTTCTAAAGTAATCCCTGGGGTTTGGGTTAGTCAAGTCTGTTGCTCCGTTTTTGCACCTCCGCAATAAAAATGACAACCAGTACATAACGGGGTTGGCTTGACAAAGTAGACTTCCTTGTGTTTTTTGTTTTGTTTTGTTTTTAATTTTTTTTCTTCTATCTGTCTACAGGCAGATACAGATAGATGTATGAAACTGTGCTTGCCTGTAAAATTTGCATTTATAAATGTGTTGCCGATGGATCACTTGGGCCTGTACACATACCAATTAGCGTGACCACTTCCATCTTAAAAAACCAATCTAAAACACGAAATATAAATATATATAAATATATATATATATAAAGGACTGTGGGTTGTATACAAACTATTGCAAACACTTGTGCAAATCTGTCTTGATATAAAGGAAAAGCAAAATCTGTATAACATTATTACTACTTGAATGCCTCTGTGACTGATTTTATTTTCATTTTAAATATAAACTTTTTTGTGAAAAGTATGCTCAATGTTTTTTTTCCCTTTCCCCATCCCCTTGTAAATACATTTCGTTCTATGTGACTTGGTTTGGAAATAGTTAACTGGTACTGTAATTTGCATTAAATAAAAAGTAGGCTAGCCTGGAAATGAAATTAAAATTCACAAGTGTGTGGTCTTTATTTCAGAACCCAACCCTCTTTCTTCACCTAACAGTTTTGCCACTGTAATATGTAGTCATATCACCATCTCCGTTTCTCTAATTAGAGAAATGTGAATCGCTGTTAATAAAAGTCAAGATGTGAACACTTAGTTCTTGTTCTTGCAAAATGATCTTTTTCACTGTATCGCCTCAAGATGTGCAGCTTCCATCTGGGAAACCTTTGGATTTGATGTGGAAGCCTCGGAGACACTGCTCTGAACAGAAAGAAGACATCCCTGGAAGGGACAAAATTTCTTAATGTGTGTAAATTGCTGTTTTTGGTTACTGTGTTCATGGTTTGGTGTTAGCTGTATTTTCTTTTAACTTTCATCCCATTAGTAATGATCTATGGAGGTGTAGTCTGTAAAATATATGAACATCACAAACAGTGGGGCTGTACCTCCCAGTTAACCAACACATGTTATGTTGAGTCTGCTCATTTCCGATAATGGATGATGTATGTAAACATGTCTCTTAGTGCAAAAAGAATTTTTTTTCTTTTTTTTTTTTTTTTTAGGGCTGGCTCATTTGTCAGGCCTAATCTAAAGGCTAGATATAAGGTCATGTGACTGCTGCTTCAATAAAAAAAATTATATTGGATATTGTCTGGTCAAATTTATTTACTGTGGTGGTGGGGTAAGCATATCCCATTCTTATTTTTAGAGGTGGGGAGAGAGCCAGTACTAACCTGTAAGAGGGACGTACTGAAGTGTTCTGAGATTCACTGATAATCTTGTTTCTTTGCCTTAGCTATTTAAGATCGATTACAGGATGTGCTAACTCCTACAAGATAGCTTTTTGACTTAGATAGCTTTTTGACTTAGCATAGTGATAGCTTACATTTTTTAGCTAAGCTTAGCATTTTAACTTCGCATCCACACAAAGATGTTCCTTTGGTCATTCGTGTCAGTTCTTTGTAGAAAATGCTAACCAAATAATCCTTTGGGATAGAGTTTGAGGACAGCAGTGATAATGGATGTCATTTTGGAAGGTGTAAGGAAAGCAGAGACCAGGTGGTGGCAGATTCTCACTGAGAAAGAAGTCTGAAAGGCAGAGAAGCTATGGGATTGTCCACACACACACACCAGCACTGTAGAGACAGGTCTGTTGGGTACAGATGGGGAAAGTAGTCATGGACAAAGCTGCTGTGGACAATGGCACAATGAGTCTAAGGGATGATGAATCAAATGATTCTCTTTATATCCTCTCCATAAGGACCACTGTGGGCCCTCTCACATAAAGACTACTTATTGAGGTCAAGGTTTTACGTTATTAAAGTCTGCGTCAGGGTGGAGAGGCTGAGAGTGGTGCTGACAAATGGGGGAGGCAGAAGGTAAGAAATAGCTCATTCAAAAAATTTTAAACCCTGAGATTTGAAGACTGACACCCGACTGAGCCATGTGAACATATAAGAAGGACAGTGGCCACAGGGATGCCTAAAAACTTGCTTAATTTTCGCTCAGAACCAGGAATGAGAGTAATAAATCCAAATGTTTGAGAGTTGGAAAGTTGAATCTGGATTCTCCCAGTCTTTAACAAATGTGAAGTCTACATAGCTATGTATATGTGAACTCTTTGCTGCAACTAGTGTGGAATCTTACCTACGTTTAAATAATCTGTATAAATCAGGTCTACATATCTATTCAGTGTTTTGAGAGCTGCCCTGCTTTTTAAATCAATACCTTGATGTCACCTATACTTTTAATAAAAACTGGTTGCTGGTTGCTGTTGAGTCCATTTCGATTCATGGTAAGATCATGTGTTTCAGAGTAGAATGGCGTGATCAGTAGCTCTCCATTTCAATGTCTAAATTTTTTTTTTTTTGGTTTGTCCTCAATTTCACTTTTTTTTTTTTTTAAGTTTTTATTGTGAATTGAATGATAGTTTGCATGCGGATAGTTTACATGAGTTTTAAACTTATCCTATCGTATTTCATTTCATTTTTATGATTGCAGTCCCCTGCATCCATGCATCATCATTCCACAGTATTTGCTTCTAGAATACTCTGGGTTTTTTTGTTTTGTTTTTGGCTTTGTGTGTGTGTGTGTTTATGTACACCAAAACATTCAGGAATATACAATCATTCAACCAACCACAGAGCACACCCTGCAAGTCAATGGCTAATGTTTTGGAAGTATATATCCACCAGACTTTTCTTCCAGGGTGTCTCTGGGTGATGAACCTCTAGCCTTGTATCACCTAGGGATTCTGCTTATTCTGACACCTAACACCACTCTTAGGCTCTGGAAATTGTAGGTTATTTAAATGGGGAGGGGATATGTATATGATTTCTGAAAACAGTTGAAATTTATATTCTCAAATGAGTATAAGACAAAATTCTGGAGGTAAAAGCTGTATTCATTGGGTTTGGAGAGAGATGCTCTTTTCCTTCCATTCCTTTTCTACAAATAAGTGCTTTCCATAGGTCCTTGGTGCAGAAGAAGTTGGCCAATCCAGGGGAGGGCAGGAACATATTTAATTTATAGCAATGTTGATTTCCTGTGTTCTTAAAGTTTGATCTGATGCTTACAAACTGGCAAAAGCTAAGCAATTCTTGAGCCTCTAAATTCAGTTACTTTGTAACTTCTTTTGCAACAAAACGTTATGGATATTTTAAATGAATTCAATTTCTACATTTTTAATTATGGTTTTCATATACTTTAAATTTTTATATACAACACTCGTTTTATGAGTAAGCCAAGTTAAATATGCACTTTTATGTTCTTATCCCAGTAGAGTTGTCAGATGTGCAAAGAATGATAGCAAAATAAGTCCTATATGTAGTATATATTTCTATTTTCCCACCTCATGTTTTTGTTCTTTCCAGAACAAATGGCAAACATCAATTAAGTCCTCTTGACTTGATTTGACATTAAACCCAGGAACATATTTGGTAAGCCTACTTTTAAGGTGTGGAATGCCTATGTAAAATTAAAAATGTGATTTTTGAAAATGGAAATAACTTTTTCACACACAGATCACTAGAAACAAGGCAGGCATTTCCATTAGCTATGAGAGCAGATGTATAAAACACAAACAGACAACGCATGCAAGTGGTTCTTGCTCTAGCATGTTTACTAACCATTTCAGAGAGAGGACCCCTAGTGGTCCAACCTCAGGAACAAACCCAAGCCCCAGTTGAGATGTGAAGCCAACCTCCCCCACAGTCATACATACATACATACACCCAGTCAGTGATTTCCTTCCATAATTATGTGTTCTAGGAAACTTCACATGGCCCTCAGGTGCACACAGAATTTTGGCACAGCTCAGCAACCGCACAAAGACATTCTTGTGTCCGTTCGTGTCAGTTATTTCTTTTGATCAAGTATACTTGTGTTTTTGCCTTGTTTTCTTAACTCTAAGCTCTTTGAGGTCAGGATCCATGTCTGAGTCATCTTTGTATGCCCCATACAAGCAGGCTGTAGAATGTATGTGCTTACTATTATGTTTGAGTGCATGGAGAAAACCAGGACAAGGTGCCCAGAATGAAGAATGAATAGACTAGACATGGACAGGGTTCCTGGCAACCCTCCACATTGGTTGCAGGTATCCTGACTTTAGAACATCCCCACAGACACAGCCTCTGTTCATCAGCAGGTGCATGCCACCACACTGAGCAGCTCACGAAGGAGCCGCTGAGGGTTCAAAATGAGTGCGGTGTGGGAGACAGAGTTCCTAGAGGTAGCGGTGCATAGTCTCAAGAGCTTTGGTTTGGGCATAGACCCTCTGAAGGCCCAAGCATGGTATCCCAGACCACAGAACCTTCTGGAAGGAGAGGCACTCATTGCATCAGTTCTGTGGTTCTGTTCTCCACAGACTGAGCTGCCGGCTTAGAGACTAGGTGTGAGAGGATTCATGGCCCCTTCCTAAGGAATGTCAACCAGCTGTGGTCATAGCAGATGGCAAATTCCCTGGGCAGGCTGGACTAGTAGGGCCTTGTTGGCTGTTACTGGTGTCCATTTATGGAGTCTCATGAGCAGCAGCTCAGAGGGCTCTGGATCTGGTGCCCACAGAGGCTCCACCCAAGGGGCAGCTGCTCAGCCATCTGTGATGCTGAACAACTCCTGCATGAGAGGGGTAGCAAAGGGGTGGATGTCCTGGATACGCAGCAGCCTCTGGGTGTGCTGGGCGTTGATGCTACGGAGCTCTGTGAGCATGGCCATAATCTTCAGGAACAGGAACCTGCAGAGCAGCCAGAGGAAAGGTTAGGGGTGCAGCCCACCATCCCCCCGCCCCTGGGATAGCTCTGAGGCTGTGCAAGTCAGGGGCTGGTTAATCTCTGGCCACCTCGTGTCAGCCAGGGGACAATAATTGGCTGCATTCCTTAAGCTGTTTCTTCAGCCTGTGGACCAGAAGACCAGACAGCTGGACCAGTTATTGAAGTGTGAACTACCTACGCCCACCCCATCCATGGCCTGTGTCCTCTGAGATCTCATGGAAGCATTCTGCCATTGGTGGTGGTGGTGGTGGTGTTGGTGGTGGTGGTGTGCCGTGGAGTCAATTCTGACTCATAGCAACCCTGTATAGCATTTCTGAGGCTGTAAATCTTTATGGGAGCAGAAAGTCTCCTTTCTCCTGCAGAACAGCTGGTAGTTTCAAACTGCTACCTCGAGGTACGACGCCCAATGCAGGCAGTAAGTGCATAGGTTAATTTTGAAAGCAAGAACCCATTGCCTTGGTTGACCACCAGAGACTGCGAGGAACAGTTGGAGTCTGATGTGTCTAAGACACGCCTCATGACTCAGTTTCCCCATGATGGAAAAGTAAGCTTTTATCTCTAGCCCTTGGCTTCATTCATTAGAGAGCAATCAAATAAAACACAGCCATACTCAGCACCCCAGGAGGTGAGCCAAACAGAAACCTTGTGCAATCCAAGTAGGGATGTGAGGTTTCAGTCTACAATACCCAGTCATGGGAGAAAGATGAGACTTTTGGTTCCTGCAAAGATTACAAGCCTCAGAAACCCTATACAGGATCGCTATGAGTCGGAACTGACTCAGTGAAGGCCTAAAGCTCTGTCCCATGAGGACTTGGGCTCAGTTCATCCCTGGGACTGTGAGTATCAGATGGGATAGTAGGCCATGTGACTGCAAAGGGCCAATGAAGGTGAGAAAGGACCCACGTGAGCCACATCCAAAGAACTTCCTCCTTTGAGGTTACAACCAGAACTAAGGCATAGCCTATCCCATATAGGCTTGTGCTGTCCCCAGGAGGTAGCAGAACCCACAGACCAAGTTTTTCCTGGGAGGCAAGTGCTCAACAAGAGCACAGGTTTTTCAGTTGGCCTGAGGCCTACCCCTCTGTCTGTGGACCCCTGGGCAATTCCCAAGCCTCATTCCCTTTCAGAACAAGAATAGTGGCAGTCTCCACCTCTTGGGACTATTTTGAAAACTGCAGGTGATAATGCATGTAAACTGCTTAGCACAGGTCTGGCTCTCCTTCTGTTTCCCATTTTGGGGTTGGAGCTCAGGTACACTGGACAGGAGCCCTCAGGATCCTCAAAGGCCTGGTTGTCAGAGGCCGCCTGAGGGCAAGGCCAAAGACAGGCAGTGTGGGCGCACCCCCCACCTTCTCACATCCTCTCTCTGCTTGCAGCTTACCTGTGGGCGGGCTGGGGCCGCTCGCACTCAATATAGGCCTTCAGGGCCATGGCAAAGCGCTCCTGTAGCTGGTCTACCTTGCTGCGCTGCACCACTCCTGGGCGGTCTGAAGGGGAGGGCAAGGAAGCAGGTGGTGAGGTACCTGCAAGGCTGGGGCTCAAGACCTGCTCAGCCAGGCCCAGGGAGGAGAACTCACTCAACAACCAACCACCTTGCAGAACTGGAGACAGTCAGGAGGAGAAGGGAGGGAAGGACTGGGTGAGCCTGGAGTCAGCCGGCTGGCTGTGCAGGAGGTGTGAGCACACTGGGGACAGGCCGGGGGTGGAGGCACGTCACCTGGAGAGAACAGGGAGATGGCCTGCATCAGCACATACTCCTCCTGGTGAAGCTGGAGTTTCTTCAGCATGTAGTGGAACTTCAGTACTGGCTCCAGGAGCAGCTGCTGGAAGCCACCTGTAGGTGGGTGTGGAATGCACATTCACCATTGACCTTCTTTCCACTGCCCAATCTTCCCACCTTGCAACCCCAGGGACAGGGTATCTGAGGTAAGAACCACACTCTCCCCACTCCCATTTTACCCACCGGGCTTGAGTCTTGGGATACAGCGATGATGTCAGTGGGAAAATTCTGCCATGTCCTGGCAGGACTCGTTTCCTCCCGGTGTGTCCACCCGCTCCCAGGGCAGGCAGGAGGCCCTCAGGTACCTGCAGGGTCTTCCAAGCTGTAGGACAGCCGGCCACACTCCCACGTCCCAGTCTCTGAGTTGAACACTGTGTTGAATCTCAGCTGGCACAGTTCAAAGGTGGCCCCCTTCAGCAGGGAGATCTGATCCTCAATGGGCAAGTCCCTGCAGCAAGAAGGGAGGGAGAGCCAGCTCCCTGGGAAGTGCCCACGCCCACTCTCATACTGCAGAGCTCACTGGGAGCTGGGAGCAGAGCTAGGCTGGGCTCCGTTACCATTGTTTTTTCTCTCGCTCCACAACCCAGGCAACCAATGACTCTTCCCTGTCATATTCCTCTACTATTCACTGAGCTTGGGGCCACTTCCTTACAGGTTAACCTTAGCTCTTCCAATCCCCTACATCATTACTTTCCTACAGCTGATGACTTGACTCCTAGTTACTGGATCTGACCTCATTCTTTCTGCCTCAGTTTCCCTGCTTAGAATGACTATGTCTTTGCTCCTCCCAGACATTTGTCCAAGGTGCAAGGTCCCTCAGCGGGTGATCTTCCTTCGGCATAAGTCTTATGGAGGGAAGTATTTTTTGTGTCCTGTTGCCTCTGTTGGGTGTGATATTGTTAGCTTCTATCGAGTTGGTTCCAACCCATGCCAACCCCATGTACAACAAAAGGACAGGCTGCCCTGCCTCACACGTCTCCTCTCCAGGATCGCTGGTATGGAAGCCACCTGCAGGTGGGTGTGGGATGCACACTCACCTATGACCTTTCTTTCCAGAATCCATTGTGACAATTGTGTAATGCTCTGCCACCTTTCAGTGCCCTATCAGACAGTGGTTTGCCGTGATCTATAGTGTTTCCATAGGCTGATTTGCAGAAGGCTATTTCAAGGCCATTCTTCTTAGTCTGTCTTTGTCTGGAAACTCCCCTGAATCTTGCCCACCCTGAGTAACACTGTTGGTATTTGAAATATTGGTGGTCTGGCTTCCAGCATCACAGCAACACACAAGCCACCACAGTATGACTAACAGACGGAGTGGGGGAGCGGGGTGTAGAAAGGTTTGATTTAATATATATGTTAAATCAAACTGTCTCACTCCAACACAGAGCACAGGCCCAGCCAGGGCCTGTTTAGTTGTTGTTGTTAAGTACCATCGAGTCAGTTCCAATCCATAGCTACCCTATATAGGGTTTCTGAGGAGCAGCTGGGGAGTTTGAACCGCTAACCCTGAGGTTCAAACCAACCTTGCAGTCGAGTGTAAACTGACCTTGCAGTCCAGTGTTTACCCTACAGCGCCACACCAGGACTCCAGGGGCTGCTCAATAAGCATCTAATATTTTCAGTTAGATTGAAACCCTTCCCATCCTTCAGGAACACACAGCTACCCACCAGGGCGGCATTCCTGACAAGGAGAAGGCCCTGGGAGGCTGGGGGTGGGGGGTGGGGTGTCTTTCCTAGAGGGTTCTTGAAGAAGCCTTCCCCCAACAGTGCTCTCCTCAGAAAGCAGACCCTTGTGCTCCGCACACAGCGCACACAGCACCGCAGGCCTTCTTTTAGATTCAGAATTTTTACGATCATTTGTTGCAGAGTCCATTCCCATCTGTGGCATGTGTGTCAGAGGAGGGGAGCACATGCCATAGGGTCTTCAGTGGCTGATTTGGGGCCTTTTTTTCCCAAGGTGTCACTGGATGGACTCAAACGTCCAACCTTTCAGTTAATATTCAAGTGGTGGGTGGCACTGCGGGTTAATGTGCTGAACTGCAAGGTCAATTTGAATCACAAACGGCAGTTCAAGATCACCAGCCGCTCTTCAGAAACCCTATACAGGGTCGCTCTGAGTTGGCGTGAACTCAACAGCACTTAACAACCACCATTTTTAGGATTCCTTGTGTGGTGCCGTGGGGTAATGTGCTGGACTGAAAAATCTGTTTGAACTGTAAGGTCGATGGTTCAAGCTCACCTATCACTCCTTGGAAACCCTATACAGGGTCACTATGGGTCTGAACTGACCCGATGGAACTTAACAACAACCATTTGTGTCACCTGTTGTTGCTAAGCGTTATCAAGTCGGTTCTAATTCATAACCACACTGTATAAGGTTTCCAACGAGCGGCTGGTGGGTTTGAACTGCTAACCTTATGTTTAGCAGTCCAGTGCTTATCCTACAGTGCCACACCAAAACTCCATAATACTGAACTGCAAACACTGCCAAATTGGTGTTAATCCTCTGTCTCCCCAGTGCCTGACTTGGAGCTGACTGTAAAGTCTGCACTCTGGCACTTGCTAATCTGGCCTCTGCCACTAACACACTGTGACTATGTGTCAGTTTCTTAACCTCAGTGACACTGAATTTCTTATCTTTACAATGCCTATCCTCTAGAATGACTGTACTCAACAATGAGTGGTCACGTGGGTCAGTAGTGTCGTGTCCACATTCACAAGTAGGCCTTGCTCCCTGTTCTCATAAACAAATTTGTCACCACCGAAACACTGTTCCGGTGTTCAAGTCAGACTTTAGGTATGTGATTTGGCAACATCTACCAGGCTTGGCAAAGCAAGGCGGCCAGCCTAAGGAAAGATACACCCAGAACCACACCTAGCCCTGAAAAAACCATATTAATAGGTCCTGGGATCTCTAACTAATTCTGCTTGTCCTACAGATGCACCAACCACCACCCACCACCACCACCCACCACCCACCACCACCAGCTCTGAGGAGGGCCAACCCTTTGGCTTTCAGGACTTCCACAGCCTCCTCGTGGCCTTCGCAGCCTTCTCACCCACTGTCTGTCCTTTCTTCTCTTTGGGCTGACTTCCCTTTCCTTTTCAACTCATTCTCTGCTCTGAAACTGTCAACTTGTGACAATTACTGTATGAATGTCCACCACTGATACTCTTCAGATACTATCTTATTTTATATGACAACCCTGCCCAGTTGGCATAATTAACTCCTGTTTAGAAAATGGGAAGGCTGAGACACAGACAGATCACACGACATGTGCACAATCCCAGAGCTAATAAGCGGCAGAGCAAGAGTTCTCGCTACTCCCAGCGGAGATGGATCCCATACCATACACGTCAGATGCTGGGCAATCATCTCCAAGTCATAGCAACTCTTTCAGAGTAGAATTGTCTTCCATAGTGTTTTCAGTGGGTGTTTTGTTGTTGTTTTCAGAAGTAGGTGGCCAAGCTTTTCTTCTAAGTTGCCTCTAGATGGACTTGAACCTCTACCCTTTCATTTAGTAGCTGGGCACTTTAACTATTTGCACCACTCAGGGATAGCATCCCCCAGATTCAGCGGAATTGATCTCAAACCATTTACACCTCTTGGCTATTTTCTGCTCCCTTCCACATCTTTCCACTCAGCCTCCTTCCCCAGTTCCCATGACCTACCTGAAGTAGGAGATGACTTTGGCAAAGTTGATGATGCCTTTGAACATGTAGGTTGACATGTCAGCCATGTGGGGCATCAGGGAAAAGATCTCTTTCCCATTACCATTGGCTGGGGGTTTGTAGTTCCAGACGCTGCCGTCCTCGCCCCGCAGGTGCAAAGATAACTTCAATGAGCACAGATCTTTCCTGATCTGGCTCCACATTGTGGCTTCTTCTGCTGACAGCACCTTCAGAGACTCTGGAACCTCATTGCTAAGCATCTCTGGCAGCTGGGACATAAGCCAGGAGTGGGAGAGAGAGCAAGAGAGACAGCATTATTTTCACAAACAAGCTCCCACACAGATCCTGATGCATACATAGCCCAGCCACATCTACAGTACATGCACAATTGCAGGCACACATTTACACACACTGAGCACATGTTTGCTGTCTCTGGTCTTCCACCAGGTGGTGTTTTCTGGAACTAGTGATCCCACATATGTCTGCCTGATCAGATAGGAGGCTTGCTCCCTGCCATTTGGGCCTCCATCCATGCTATGTCCAAAACACCCCTGGCCATGGGCTCAGGGGGACTCCAAGAGAAGGGTCTGGTTGTTACAGAGGAGAAAACACATCTGGAGCCACTAGCCCAGTTCTCTGGGCTGGACAGGCCACCCAATCCTGGCCATAGGGTAGGTATGGGGCACTGTGAGCAGATGTGGCTAACGTTGCTGCGATCGCTAACATTTCTTGGATCAATAAACACTGTTTCACAAAGGTCACATCCCAACAGGTCTTGACTCTGTCCTCATAAAGCCTCACATGCCGGCCATGCCAGGGAAACTTTTAACTTTCCCTCCATTTACAGCTCAGCCCCAACTCCTACCTGCTGTGGAAGAAGAGAGCAGTGCTTCTCAAATTCAAACACATATACCAGAATCACCTGGGGGTCTTCTAAGACACAGTCCCACCCCCAACGTTTCTGGCTCAGCAGGTAAGTTCCCAGGTGATGTTGATGCTGCTGCTGGCCGCTGACCACATCTGAGAACCCCTGGTAAAGAGACAGAGGACTTAAGGAGCTGAGTCAGCGTAAAGCCGCATACCCGGAAATTCTTGAAATGGGAAAAGGTGGTGTCAAAGGTTTTCAACTGCGCGTCCATAAGCTCCCCGATCATAATCCGCTGCTCTTCTGTCAGACCCTTCACTTCCAGTGGCTGAGTCCCCACTCGTTCTCTCCTCTTCCTCTTGATCAAGGCCCGCCTCTGCTCCACAGCCGCATCGGACATGATCACTGCAGGGAGAGGCAGGTGCAGCTCAGGGGAGTTGCACACCTGAGGGGAGTTCCTTCTTAAACCTCCAAGGCAACAGTAGAAGTTAGGCCAAAGGGAAAATGCTGGAGACAAGAAACCTGATTTTTCCAGATTCCGGAGTCTGTAGACCCCACTGGATACTGCATATAAAGGACCTAAAATAGTTCCTGCACATAATGAATGTTTAATAAATGGTACCCAATATTATTGTATTCTGGTGGGATATATACATATATATATACATATATATGTTGTTGTTAAGTGCTGTCAAGTCAGTTCCAACTCATGGTGACCCTGTAGAGGGTTCCGAAGAGTAGCTGGTGGGTTTGAACTGCCGACCTTGTGGTTTGCAGTTCTATGCTGATCCTACAGCACCACACCAGGAGTCTATCTATCATTCATCTATCTATCTATCTATCTATCTATCTATCTATCTATCTATCTATCTATCATCTATCTATCTATCTATCTATCTATCTATCTATCTATCTATCTATCATCTATCTATCTATCATCTATCTATCTATCTATCTATCTATCTATCTATCTATCTATCTATCTATCTGAGTCCTGGTATGGCACTGTAGGCTAATATACTGAACTGCAAGGTCGATTTGAACATTTGAACCGAAAGGCTTGTGGTTCAAACTCAACAGCCACTCCTTGGAAACCCTATACAAGGTTGTTATGAGTTGGAACTGACTTGATGGCACTTAACAACTGTGTGTATATACATATACAGAGATAAACTCCTCAGAGTCCCCTTGCCCCCAAGGTCTTCTAGGTTTTTAAGTCCCAGGAGAATTGGACTAATGCTAAAGAAGAAATATGAACCCTGGCCATCTAGATAGCCCAGACACTTAGGGTCTTCCATGGATTTCTGGACCCCACTTGTGTGTAGAGGAAACCTGTAGGAGTCCTTGGAGGGGTAAGATTAAGGAGTCCTTGGGTAGTTTAAATAGTTCATACACTCTGCTGCTAACTGGAAAGTTGGGGGTTTGAGTCCACCCAGAGAATCCTTAGAAGAAAACAAAACAAAACACAAATACAAATCCACTGCCATCGAGTGGATTGTGACTCTTAACAACCCTCTAGAAAGGAAGAAAGACCTGATGCTCTACTTTGGAAAACTCAGTCACTTACATCTCAATGCAGCACTGTTCCACACTGACACACATAAGTCACCATGAGTCAGAATCAGCTGAGTGACAACAGGTTTTATCAACAACAGCCAAGTGACAGTCCTCACTCTGGTGGAAGCAAAAAGCTTTCTGGAAGTCGTCCATCCAAAGAGAGGCTGCCCCCATGTGACTGACAGAGACTTTCCCCCTAGAACATTAATCTCAGAGTGACCTGGGCAAATCAAAGCTCAGCAGCTTAAGTGATATCTCACCTATTTGCAAACAGTCTTCCCATAAAGACTCCAGGGCTGGGCAGCTGGTGGGCTCTAGCAGCCAGAAGTTTGGGGTTTGTCATATCACACATCATGTTTCACCTGCTTCCTTCCCCCAAACTCTGCCCCCACCCCCATTTTGTTAAAACAGCATAAGGGAAACAATGAAGAGGACACAACAGGGTATATGAGGGGAGAGCAAAGCCCTGGCCACAGAGTCCTCGCTACAGCTTCCAAAGCACAGAATATAGATGCCCTCCATCTCTCAATCGCCTGTTGGTGCAGGCAGATAAATCGCAAACTCTTTGGTTTATGCCCGCCGGATGCACATGCGGCGGGCGTGCACTTTGCACAGCTGCACACCTGCTCAACGTTCATGGTGCACACCTGCACCGTGCTCACAGCGCCCTCGCCCAGCTCCCCCAAGGCCTCCCCGAACTCACTCTCCTTCTTCATGCCGCTCTCCAGGCACTTGCGCAGGCGGCAGGCCTGGCATTGCCGCCGCGTCTTCCGAGTGATTTCGCAGGTGCCTTTCCGGAAGCTGCACCGCAGCCGCGCATTGCGTTTCATGGCCCTCCTGTGGGGGAGCATGAACCGGGAGACAGGCTACAGGGGGCACACCCTAGCACCCGCCTCGGCCAGGAGGCTCCATCTTCCCCTCTTTCCACTATGTTGCCTCCCTCTGGGAGTCCCAGGAACAACCTGAACGAGGAGGGAGGAGTAAAAGGTTGCTTGTAGCCCAAGACCATCTAAATGGATACCACTTTAAAGAAGCTCCAGGCAGCCTCTCCCATGCTTGCAGAACCAGGTCCGGTTCAGATGCCCACCTTCCTTCACGTGGTCATGTTGGCCTCATATACCCAGGGAGGGATCTGGGGCTCCTGGCTAGGGAGTAGTTGGGAGTGTGCTGGGACAGGAGGCCAGCTCTAGGCCGTGTCATGTGAGAAGGAAGTCTTGGGAATCTTGGAAAACGTTTTCTTGCACTTAAGAGAAATTCTTAAGTGTTTTCAACTTAATCCTGACTTGCAGCAACCCTGTAGAGGGTTTCCGAGTAGCTGCTGGAGGGTTTGAACCACCAACTTTGTGGTTAGCAGTCCAGTGCTTATCTTACAGCGCCACACTAGGATTCCAGAAAGAGAAATACCGTTAAGTGCCATCGAATCAGTTCAGACCCATAGCCACCCTGTATAAGGTTTCCCAGGAGTGGCTGGTGAGCTTGAACTGCTGACCTTGCAGGACTTTGCAATCCAGCACATTTACCCACAGAGCCACACCAGGACTCCAGAAAGAGAAATAGATGGGTCATTTTGCTCTTCAGCCAAGTGTGTTAACTGCCTAGGACACTGTGCTGCCAGGGGAGAGCCAAGCTGGAATCAGTGCTCTTGTATAAGATGGCAAAAGAGAAAAACTAAGCACCGAGCTTCTGAACTCACAATCCTTAAAGCCTCTAGACACCTTGTTATGAGGTAGAACATGTTTTCCTACTATTCAAACCAATTTGTTTCTTGGAATGGAATACAGCCTTAGAACAATTGCTATTAAGTGGAATACAGCTCTGTTAAAACGTATATTGAAAGTTATTACATTCCTTTCTGCCTGAAACACAGGTGTGTCTCCCTGGAATGTGGGTTCCTTTGAACCTGCCCTCAGCTGACAATCCCCTGGGGCCAGAGAATGGTGAGCTCTGACCATGCCATTACCCAAGTTGACTCCCTTGTTGGGAGGCTGGGAAGATAAGGGTGGTACCCCACACTGGTCCTAACACAGAGGCTGCTGCAATGCCTCCCTGGACTCATCCACACCTGGAAGTCCTCCTGTGGGTTCTAGAAGCAAACAGTTGGATCCCTACACATGGCATCCAAACCAGCAGCCCATTTTGGGGATTACAGGGTGTTCATTTCGGTTCAAATGATCAAAAAGAACTCTGCAAAGGGCCATGTCAGGCACTTTGTCTTGAGAATGCAGGAAGGTCCCAGTTGGAACGCTGATTCCCATGTACCCATGCCCTCCTGGAGGCAGAGCCAGAGCTCCTCCTTTCTCCTCTCCCCTCCTTTCTTGGTCTTCATCTCCATCACCTACAGTGAGCCCTGAACTGAGAGCTGGCTTTGCTTTTATCTGTTTCTTCAGCTGAACAACAAGAGTCCTTCCCTCTGGGCCTGCCTTGCTGTGACCTGGGATGTAGTTAGTTCTGTAATTGTTTGGTCCTCCCCATTTATCTGTTATCAGGGGGTGCTTTTTTGTGATATGCTTCATTTATTTTATACCATTCTTTACTTAGCAACCTCCCCTATATGACTTACATGAACACTTGCATTTTGGATTTTCAAATGATTTCCCCTTTCTCTGACTGATCTGCTATTTTAATCAAGAAGAAATGGGGAAGCAAAGAACTATCTGAAGAGAAGACCTTTCCAATGTAGAACAGGAAGACAGAGATCGCCTGTTCAGGAATCCTCTGAGATGTAAACGAAGATTGAGATTAATCAGGAACTTTTGACTGGATCATCAGGCCACACTCTGAAGCTGGAGGCAGGTCCAGCCTAGGTTTTGAGATACTGCTCAGTGGGTTAAAGTAGAACTCTTGTTAGATGTGACCAGTGGGTTGGTAGTGGCAGGTGGGTAAGCGTTGCCAGGTAACTCTACCTGAAAAAGCCCTTGCATCCTTCACATGTCATGACATTGAAGTGATAACCAGTAGCCTTGTCTCCACATACACGGCAGATTTGGGGACCCCCATTTTCCTCATCCACATCAATAGAGGGGTTTCCAGGGACTGAGTCTGCTTCTTCACTGTGCACATGGTCTGCATGGCTCCAGCTTGCTTCAGGGCTCACCTCCAGGTTGGCTTCTGGGTCTCTTGGACTAGAAGTGAAAAACCACAGGGAAAGAAAGGGATGGACATTTAGGTACTGCAGTTGAAGAGGGAATCAATTCCCTGTTCCAGCTGTGCATGGCTCACTTTTGCTTCTGTGGCCCCAAGAACTGATTGTTCACGCATGAAATGAGGGTAGAGAGTTCGAGTTATAGAAAGAGATATAACCATGATGTTTGTATACAGTAAGTGGGCCCTGGAATAGAACATGTAAACAAGCACACAGGAGAAAGAAAGACAAGAAGGGAAGAAGAAAGAAAAAGAACCATATGTCTGGGGTGGATCATGAAGACAATACTTCAATGAATGTGGTTAAAAGACCACGAACTAGTTATACGCCTGAACAGGTTACAGCTCATGGGAACAGATTACCAGTTTGAGATGATTTTTAGGATTAGGGAGCTCCAGGAAGGATGATCCTTCAGGTATGGATCACCTCTAGACATAAAGAAGCTTTAACATTGACTAACAAAGCAGATGGGGAGAAAGAGTGGAACCAGGACCAGGGTACAGGAGGAAGACATTGGCCTACATCCTAATCCAGCTAGGTGTAAGTGAATAGACAAGGAAACTGGTACCAGTTTATAGAACTCCCAGGGAAACTAGAGGTTAGATTGGTAAATATAAAAAAATTGAAAAATCAATGTTTTGCAACCATTCTAGTAAAGATTGGGTCAGGCACAATTCACCAATGGATATTACATCTAGGGAGAAACTTTGACAAGGAGTAGGAGGACCTTTGCATGGTTTCCTTACAGACAGCTTATTAATTGCAAGAGAGAAAAAACCAGTAATAATTATCCAGTGGGGAAATCAGACATCTTGACCCAGTGATCAAAACATCAATGAGGAGCAGACGGAGAGAGGATACATCAAAATGTGGGACTCTGAAATGCATAAAATTACCTACATAGTATGGTACTGTAGGATAAACACTGGACTTCAAGATTCATTTGAACAGCAAGGTTGGAGGCTCAAGCCCACCATTCACTTCTCAGAAACCTTATATTGGGTTGCTACAAGTTGGAACCGACTCAACGGCACTTAAACAACAACTTAGTGATAATCATCAGAAAATATTAGATAAAATTGGAAGATTCTATTTTTAAAAAGTAGGGAATGGGCAAATCCAGAGACAGAAAATAAATTAGTGGCTGTCAAGGATTAGGGGGAGAAAAGAATGGAGAGAGACTCTTCATGAGTGTATAGTTTCTTTTTCAGATGATGGTTAAGCATCTTCATGAATATATTAAAAACCACTCAATTATATATTTTAAGCTGGTGAGTTTTACAATTCTGAAATAAACTTCAATAAAAATTTAGTGAGAAAAAAATGTGTCAATGTTATAAAAGACAAATAATACGTATTAGTGGAAGCTATAGGGACGTGACACCTAAATGCCATTTAGTCCTCTACTGGGGAATATGCTATTAAGGATATTATTGGGTCAACTGACAAAATTGGACTGCAAACAGTTAATTAGACAGAGGAGTTGTGTTAATGTCAAATTTACTGCAATCAGTGTAAATGCCATTCCCCAGAAGGGAAGTGATAATTTCAACACATGCTGGCATGAATCACAGGAGAAGCTCAGTAGATGATGTAAAACTGAGAAGATGAAAGAAACATCTCCAAAGAGACTGGGGGTGGGGAGAACGTACTTAAACCCCATCTGGTTATGGTTAACACTTTGCCCTATTCCTTAATGAGAAGGCATTGGAATTTAGGCCAGAATCACAGTCTATAGTATTTGTAGAGATTTTGTTTTGCTTTGCTTGAGTTTACTGTTGAATAAGCAGATTCTGGTACGCTCTTCAATCCATTCTCTTATAACTTTACAAAGCCCCAGTCATCCCCACCAAGCACAGCACCCGAACGCACTCTCTTGGCCCAGCTGAGCCCCCACATGACTGCACCTCAGCCAAGGTCATGTGGAGCAGGACAACTCCCCAGCTCAGCCCAGTCAACATACCAAATCATGATAAAAAATAAAATGGCAAGTGATTTAATCCAGGGGTTTGGGGAGGTTTATTACAACGCAAGAGATAATGGAAGCAGAACCCCTGGAGTTTTACTAGAAATAGATCTGAACAAGTGGGTGGGGTAACAGCTGACACCCTCAGTCCCTGTCCTGTGCTATTCTTTCATCAGCCCTCTTTACAGAACGGTGCCCTGTGGGCAGGGAAATGACAGCGACTAGGTGTCTGCTATGTGCCCGCTGCCTCTCTCTTTCATGTGAATTTAATAAGACCAATTAGAGGTACAGTTTTAATTGAATACAGCTGTGTTTACTTCTGGAAGTTGCACCTGCTTCTCGTTGTGTTTAGTAATCTGTGAAATCTAGCCAGAATAGGGGTGACGTGATCTCTTGCATCCATGGAATATAAAATATTTCTCCAGATAGGACTTTACAAAAACAATTAATTCGGTATTCAGGCTAAATACCAAAGACAGGATTATGTTCCCAGCCAAGAAGAGTATCAATAAATTAGTGAATAAATTAACAAATTTGGTTCTTTATATATGCCTGTGGCTTGGTAGTATCAGGCTGCACCAAGCATACATATGAACTCTGTCACTAGGCAAGATTAATTTGCATTGTTTAGGAGTCTCTGGGTGACACAAATTGTTAAGTGCTTGGTTGCCAACAAAAACGGTGGCAGTTTGAACCCACCCAGAGATGCCTTGGAAGAAAAGCCTGGTGATTTGCTTCCTGAAGGTCACAGCCATAAAACCCTATGGAACAAAATTGCTGTACACATTGTGTTTCTATGAGTCACTATTGATTCATTGGCAGCTGATTTGGTTGGTTAGCTGGTAGGAGATGGAGCCAGAATTTTAACCAAGTCAGTCAGCCTCCAAACCCTGGTCTCTTACTTCAAGTTTTAGGTTATATCCTTCACAAGGGTTTTCCTGAATAAGTGAACTATGTATTAATTTCCTTCTTCTATTGCTGCTTGCAAACTTTTTCCTAGGTGGTTCAAGTCATGTTACCTGGTTCCTTTGATGTAGTTCTCTGTTCCTGGACAGGATGTGAGCCCCGAAGACTCTCAGCTCTTGTCATCTGGATTCTGACTACAGCACTAGGTACCCAGGAACCTTGCAGCCATCCCTACCATATCCAGGGGCATCTTGTCCTTGGAAGGACTGCAAATCCTATCTTTCACAGTTGGAATAACATTCAAGATGGTGTTGGTATCCAATGGGTTTTGATCCATTATAGGGAAGCTTCGTCTATATCCTGAGCCCTTGATTATCTAAGCAGAGGCAGGTGCACACAGGCACCCCAATGTCTAAAAGGACCGGTAGGTTTTCTGGAGTTGATACTGTCTGTTTTCTACCCACTCCGTGGTTCTCTGATTTCATATTTGAGTCTGCTTTTACATTAAAGGGAGTCCTTGGGTGATACAGTTAAACGAGCTCACTCTTGACTGAAAGGTTAGGAGTTTCAGTCCGCCCAGAGATGTCTCAGAAGAACGTCCTGCTCATGTGCTTCCAAACAAGCAGCTATTGAAAACTCTACGGGCTGCAGTTCTATTCTGACACACTAGGAGTCACCAAGAGTCAGAGTGAACTCAGTGACATCAGACTTTCTTTTACTTCTCACCAGCCAGGACCTTTCACTAAGCACTTAAGAATACCAAATTTGGCTTACTCATAGTTTGGAAGTCTATGGAATTGGCAACACATGGGGCTGGTCTCACAGCTGCCACCTTAAACATTGTTGAAATTGCTGACATTTCAGTCATGTGTGCCTGCTGCTGTAGCAGAGTCAGGCTGAATGTTTATAATTCAAAACCAATTCGCCAGATTTAAAAACGGTCACCGACTATATTTTGTGTAGACTAAGGGCAATGAAACGAAGTCTGGTGGCATAGTGGTTAAAGCACTTGACTACTAAACAGAAGGTCAAAGGTTGAACCTACCCATAGCTCCTCTTGAGAAAGCTCTGGCAGTTGGCTTCTGTGAAAATACCAACTTTGGAAACCCTTTGGAACAGTTCTATTTTATCCTATGTTGTTATAGCTGTTGTATAGGGTTTCTGAGGAGTGGCTAGTGAGTTTGAACTGCTGACCTTATGGTTAGCAGTCCAGTGCTTATCCTATAGCACCACACAAGAATATGTGTCCTATGTCATTGTTGTTGTTATGTGCCATCAAGTCAATTGAGACACATGGTTTCCAAGGAGCAGCTTGGTGAGTTTGAATAACTGACCTTGAGGTCCAGTGCTTGTCGTCCAGTGCTTATCCTATAATACTACATCAGGATAGGGTCACTATAAAATCAACTTGACAGCCATAGATTTGGGTGTTTTGTTTTGAAGAGCAATAAACATCCTTCATGCAAAAAAGGCGGGGGTTGGGGGTGAGGGGTGGGGGTGGGCAGGACGGGCTCAGTGCCGTGGAGTTGGTTCCAACTCATAGCGACCCTGTGTAGAGTTTCTGAGGCTGTAAATCTTTACTGGAACAGAAAGCCTCATCTTTCTCCCATGGAACAGCTGGACTTAAATCGCTGACCTTGTGGTTCAGAGTGTGGTCAGTATAGATGGATTTTACCAAATTTGGTGTGTATGTTGGGAATCACCTTACTTCAAACATAATTAATTAGCCCGCAGAAAATTTATATGAAGAGACCTGAAGAGATGTCAAGGAAGAGGCAGCCATCCTTTGATTATCTATGGAGTGCCCACCTTCCCACAAGATTTTTAAAAATTAAATAACTTCTAAAAGCCAGAACTAGAATGATTTCTTTCTAACATAATAGTAGCTATCTGTTGTAAACCAATAGCCAATAATATACTTTATGGAGAAAGTTAGATTCATTTTTAATTAAGTAAACAATAAAATAAAGTGTCTGTTATACTTAATGTTGTTAATTTAGCCTAGATATTTTGCTTAATGCATGAAGCAAAAATTAAAAGAGATAATTTTGGCAAAGCAGGAAAAATATTTAGAAAATAAAATTATTTAGAAAATCTAAGAA